TTCAAGAGAAAGAAGAGAAGGAGCGGAAACAGAGGAAGAGGAGAAAGAAGGAAAAAGGCGAAGACAAGAAGTCAAAAGCTGACTTAAGGTCAAGAAAAACTGTGTTTTCCTGGGTTAGAGTTTGAAAAAAAAAATCTGCAAAGCAATGCTGTGTGCTACGTCCCAGTAGAAATACATACAGTCTGTGAGATAATTTACCTTGTAACCTGAACCTGAGTCTGTTCAAAATTATCCTTTCTATAACTTTGCATACACATGAGGTTAGTGAAATTGGTTTCGGTATAGGGATGATTAGATTGCACGTCCAGGGGCCAGGCAGAATACCTTGTGACAAACTTAACCTGTACAGGTGCAAAAAGGAATTACCAGGTACCTGAGCTATAATGCGGAGGACAATATAGTTATTTCCATCCTCACCTGCGGCGGACGCTTTTCCTTTGATTAATGCATTGTTCAGTTCCCACTCGGTAATCTCAGCAAAGTCTGAAGGGTCGTTATCAGAACATCTAATCTTAATTGCAAATTTATGTGCAATTTTAAACTGATAACTAAGATGATATTGAATATTTGTTCGAAGTGAGCTCAATTTCGACGCTCCAGCCCATTGACTAAGGAACATATCTGCTTGTGCAAGAGGACTATGGAACTGTGGTGTGTTAGTCAGTTTGCCAGAGTGTCAAATCATTTTTTTTTCCAGAACTCAGACATTGAGGTGTTATTGTTAAGGTTTTGTAGGAACTGTTCAAAGTGTCATTTCTGATATGAGTTTTTAATTCCGTAGATTTTTGTTGGCCTTAAGAATCTGAATAAGGTTGTCATGGGTCAAAGAGTTCCTGATCTCGCGTTTGTTGTTTTAAGCATTGTCAATTGTTGCTCTTTAAGGTCTTCTTTGGATAGACCCAAATATTGCAGTAATCAGTGGCCACTTTCGTCATGTCTATGGAGAATTTATCAACACTCATTACTTTTTTGTTTTTGCAGATTGACTATTATCAACAGCGCATCTCGTTACTATTGCAAAGTAGTCACTGATTAGCTCTGTTGCAAGCATGCTTCTGTCGTTTTCATGCACAAGAACCCCTCCTATTATGTAATCTATCCTGCCTCCCGACAGATGAGTTTGTCTTTCTGTATCATATACGGTCATAGATCTATAGTTCACAAAATGTTAGAACTCTTTGTTATTTTCATTACATTGACTATATCCAAATGTATTATGTCTAGCTTTAAAATTTCACATGCATATCTGCCGTGATTCTGAAAGTTGGCTATTGAATTAGTTTGAAACTTTCTACACCTTGCATGTGCATTGTACAGAGAGAAAAATCCAGAAGTTGTTCGAATATGTAAATGCTGATATTGCACATTATTGTCATCAGACTTCTGCACCAGTTTATGCAATATGGTGTCATTGACATAAGTCAATAGGCCTGTCATTTCTGTGTTCGTATAGGAGTAGTACCCTCTAATTCTTGGATTGGTTTTTATTCTAGTGGCTGATGTGAAGGGCTCTTGTAAACAGATAACGTCAACATTATTGTTATGAATAGAGTAAAGCAAGTCATTAATTCTACAGTTGACTCCACATATATTCCATGAAAGAAAAGTATTTTTAAAAATTCATTTGCACAGATTCTGCACATTTCCTCATATTGATATTATGTGTATAATCCATATCTGGCATCATTTTCTGAGTGTTTTCCCGCAGTTCTTCCGTTTCCTGCACATCTTCGTCGGCGTTATTTTCACTGTCGTCATCGCTTTCAAATGATTTATCGATGGCATTGTGCATAATATCAGAGACCTCATTAGCATTTTCAACATCACTAACATCATTAGGAAACATATTTTTCTTTTTCTTCCCATTACATTTTTTCTACAAGGCAGGGGGGGGAATGTGCGTGTGGCGGCTTGTGGGGGCAGTTACATTGCCAGGCCGTCACGCCTTGTTCTCTGCATCTAACACACCTCTTCACAATGGTGACGGGGTCTTCCTTGTTGTTGTCCTTCTCATTGTTTCTTGCAGGGCAATCTTTTGGCTGGTAAGCTTCTGCACAGACAGCACAAGCTGTTTCTTTCCTGTAATATTTAGCTGTGTGGCCATAACCCTGGCATTTGTAGCAGGCCACAACCTCTGAGCGCCATGGTCGAATGGAGCTCGGCTCTATGTATCTTCCAAAGAATTGGTACTGTTTAGGTGGTATCTGTTCTCTACTCAATACACTGATGATCCTATTTAAGGGCTGTCCATCCTTGTAAATCCTCCGAGCTTTAAAAACATCCGGAAGATGCAGTGCTTCCTCTGCGGCGGCCTCTTTTGGAAACCTGGTAAACAAGTATTCTCAATATCTTTTGCTTTTGGGCTGATAGTCGTCTTTGTTCTGGAGTGAATTTCCCTCAGAAGTGCCATTAACCATCAGGGCCACATAGTTTTGCTGGTCCTGTCGTATGTGGGTGTAGCGAGAGGATGTCCACTTCCAGTGCACAGGGCAGTATTCTTTGGAAAGGCTAGTCTTATGTAACTGTCCCGGAGGGTGATGGGTTCATGTTAATTGATTTTTTTCCTGGCTGGTTTGTCAGTCAAGTTGCAGGAGTCAGGCGGTCTCCATTTTTTTCTTTTTTGTCTGGACAAATTGGAATCCTTCGTCATCAGCATCGGGGTCGCCAAGCAAATCCTTATTGTTCATGTCCCTATACTCAGTGGAATCAATCCCTCTCATAGGGTGGAGGGTTGATGGGACACCGAGGAGGTGGTTATTTGCTTCTAAGATGATTAATTCCCGCCAGGTCAAGTGCTGTCAGACATACACTCACCAGGGCTCGCCAACGGTCGTTCGTACAGTACCCTGTTACTCTGGCACTATACTCGGTATTCGTAATTTTTACTAAACACTGTTTTTTTTCTATATGCCTTGACCATCACATTCGACACAATTTGGTGAATGTACACCCACACACACTCTGGGTATAAAGACAACCCATGTGAGAGGGGGTTTATCCCCATGAAATCATCCAGAACACCCTGCCCTGGTGTTGCTAAGCTTTGAACTCTCCTTGTATGGTCAAAGACTATGGGAGTTCACCCTATACAAATCAACTGTTGCCTTGTAGATCAGTCCGTGCATGGCCAAAGGTTATGGAAGTCCACTACATACAAAACAATCCACTGTCTTATGGCACCTTTAAGATGAAAAAGGCTTCAGGAGTCAGCACTCAGGGTGTGTGTGTGAAGACAGAGAGAATTATAGCATATTATTTTTTATTCTTGTTATTGTCATTATTAGCATTGTCGTCATTGTTATTACAATTACTATTGTTATTGCTAATGTTATAATTAATATCATTATCTATTTATTACTATTGTTTTCATCACTATCATTATTTTCATTATTATTATTCTTATTGATATTATCATCATCATCATTATAATTATTACTTTTATTACTATTATTACCATTATTACTATCATTATTATCATTATCATTATTCTTATTCTTATCATTATTATCACTATCATTATCTCTTTATCGTTATCATTATTGCTAGTATCATTATCATTATTGCTATTATCATTATTATTATCGTTTTATTATCATCATTATTTTGGTATCATTAATATCATTATTATTATCATTATTATTATTACCATCATCATTATTATTATTACTATTATTATTATCAAGATTATCATCATTATCATTATTGTTATCAATACTATCATCATAATACTATTATCATTATCATCGTTGTCAATATTATTATTATCATTACTATTATCATTATTATCATTATCATTATTATCATGATTATTGTTATAATTATTATTATTATTATTATCATTATTATTATTATTACTATTATCATTATTATTACTTTTATTATCATTATCATCGTAATCATAATTGCTATCGTTGTTATTACTACTACTAACGTGATGATTATTAAAATGACTCTTATCAAATTATCCAAAACATTATGATCACGGATATTAGAGTGAATGAGACAATTTTCCTCACAGAGATGCTATTTACATGACGGCTGATAAAAAATAAAGAGGTGTTGATTGTGCAATTTCTAAAAGATTACTCTCCAGTGCCTTATTTTATCTCATGAAGTTCTGTGCAATGCTCACGCCCTTGTCTCCACGCACGTTCGACATCGTAAAGGGTTAGTCCATGTCTAAGGAAATACGTGTGCATCTAGAGGCCACCTTCACCTGCCAGTGCCACCTTCGCCATACACAGTCCACAAGCTATTGTCCACACAAGATAATGTCCATGTACCATAGATCTATACATACATGTATATGTATATCTATGTGTATGTGTGTGAATATTTATATGTATATATATACATATATTATATATATACATATATATATATATATATATATATATATATATATATATATATATACACAAATATATATGTACGTATATATTTATATATATACATATATACATATATATATATGTATATCTATATATAAATATATATATGTGTGTATGTGTATGCGTGTGTGTGTGTGTGTGTGTGTGTGTGTGTGTGTGTGTGTGTGTGTGTGTGTGTGTGTGTGTGTGTGTGTGTGTGTGTGTGTGTGTGTGTGTGTGAGCATATATGCATGTATGTATGTATGTATTCATGTATGTATTCATGTATGTATTCATATATGTATTCATATATGTATTCATATATATATGTATTCATATATATATATACATATATATTATATATACAGACATACATAAATATATATATACATATATATTCATATATGTGCTTCATATATATATACATATATATATACATATATATATATATATATATATATATATATATATATATATATATATATATATATATATATTTATATAAGCATGTAAATGTACATGTATATATGCTTAAGCGGTATTTAATAGATTATATTACACATAATAAACGCGCTTATGAAATATGTCCGAATTACAATCTAATCTGTATGAAGGTAACAGAAAATGATCTTGCATAACGACTGTTTATTCAGTATGAATCATGTTTGTGGTGAAGAGGTGCGTGGCCAGCTGGCCATGGAGCTGCGCTGGTCAGGGCCGCTTATTAAGCGGGCTTCTGGACAAGCGTGCCGTCAGAGAGCTGGAAGCCACTTGGTCCGTCGAGAACGATCTTGGCGAAGGGTTCCTTGAACTGGATGGGCTGACCCCAGCTGGTGATCATCCCGCTGGGTCCAAAGGTATGGCGCTTGGTGCGGCCCATCGTGTTGAGGTTCTCGTTCAGGTGGATGGGTGGGCCGTTCTTCAGGATGATGCCACTGGGGCCAAAGAAAGCGATGTCGTGGGCCAGATCGTGGCCGAACTGCTCAATAGTGCCATCCATGCGCACGATTCCGGAACGACCGATGCTGCCAGCCGCATTGACGTATCCAGCGGTGGAGCGCTTGCTGCGGCCCACCATGTTGAGGTCGGCGTCGAGCTGAACGGGTGGGCCGCTCTTTAGGATGATGCCAGAGGGTCCGATGGCAACGATATC